AAAGAACCAGAAAGCATTAAAAATAGAAACCATAAAATAAAGTGACAGAACAAAGACCAGGTATAACTTTTGTCATGATAGAAATGAATGGCTTTAAAATCTCTATCAAAAGACAAAATAATCTTAGATTAAGTGAAAAAAAATTTAGCCATAAGCTGTTTACAAAATGAATATATATATAACACAAAGTGAAAATATAATACAAAATGAATATATATATAATACAAAATGAAACACAGAGAAGATTGAAAAGTAAAGGGATGGGCAAAACTATCAGAGACAAATGCAACCAAAGGGAACCCATCTATATGTGCTAATGTTAAAATCATACAAAATAGGATTCAGGACCAGAATGTTAAATGGAACAAATGTAATTATTGTATATTGATAAATGATAGAATGCACTACGAAGGCAATACAGTCAGGAACATGAATGCCTTCAAATAGAGAACTGGTTGGTTATGTTATTTTACAATGGAACTCTGCAAGGGCAAAAATTGCTAATGTAGAAAAATATACAATGACATGAAAAATAGATAAATTATGAAGGAAAAAACATTATATACTGTAAATAGTATGTGATCTGAATTTTGTTTCAAAATTTTATAAAAAAGAGAAAAGGGACCAGAAGGATCACAGTGTCAGGGCTGTCCCTTGCGGGTGTGGTGTGGAGGAAGGACAAACACGCTGAACAGCCCTAAAACAGGACACTCAACCACATGCACGGATGTAATGCTGGGCGTTCAGCTTGGGGCTTGGACAACTCTACCTTTAAACCAGCTTTGGCTGGTATTTCTCTTCTCTTTGTTTCTCACCCACGAGGAGTGTCAAGATATCAGGAGGGCCCAGATTGACATAGAAGCATTTAGGTGATCATGGGAAAGTGCTGTATGTCACAAGGTGGCCAAATCCAACAAGAAGAAAAAGATGACTGTGGACTCCTTTGAGGACAAATACCTGCATTGGTCTTGGAGGTCCCATTGGAAGGCTCACTTATTCTGTCTCTCCTACAACATCTTCTGAGTTTCTCCTGGGGATTGGGTTGTTATGATGCTGGGAAGGTAATAAACCAGAAGAAAATTGAGAAAATGTTGCAGTAGAAGAAGTGATTCGATTTATATAAGCTAAGGTCAACGTGTACTCCTTTGGATTAGCTTGAGGTGGTACCTTGCCTCTTCCATGATGCGGGGCAGCATTATGAGGCCATAAAATGTCCCTAGGAGTTTCTCTGAATGACCTTGAAGCACAGGAATTTAAGAGATGTCCTAGACCTGGTACCAGTAGGGACAAAGGAATCGAGGTTACTGGCAAGACAGTGGTTGAGGAAGAAATTGGACACTGACTGATTAATCCCCCCTCATAACCTGGAAGACTAGTGCCAGAACTATAGCCAGGGTTGACTTTGTAGAAACAAAGAAAAATAAATCTTTGCAACAGTGACATAATTTTAGGGGCAGAGTGTAGGAATCTACTCCTCTTGGGCACAGATGTAGCGTTAATTGGAATGAAATATTACTTAGTGCATAAAGGAAGAAAATGACCAAATTTAAGAAGAGAGATTTGAATGAAACACGAGAGAGACATGGATTGGAAATCTTCTCTTGGCTCTTTCGCTAACCATTTGTGACTTCGGGCAAATCCCATAGAATGGTGGGTCTCAAAGTTGAGCCTGCACCAGTAGCACTTGGAGGGCTTGTTAAAATACTGATTGCTTGCCCCCCACACCCAAATTTCTGACTCTATAGATCAGAGGTGGGGCCTTAAAAATTAGCATTTTTAGTAGGTTCCCAGGTTGATGCTGATGCTGTGGTCTGGGGACCACAATTTGAGAACCTCTGGCTTAGAACCCCAGTGGGCAGGTAGATAAAGTGAGTGAACGGAGGCTCTCAAAAGATCCTTTCTTAATTCTAAAATCCTAGGATCGGGGCCGGCCCCATGGCTTAGCAGTTAAGTGCGCTCGCTCTGCTGCTGGCAGCCCGGGTTCGGATCCCGGGCGCTCACCGACGCACTGCTTTTCCAGCCATGCTGAGGCGGCGTCCCACATACAGCAACTAGAAGGATGTGCAACTATGACATACAACTATCTACTGGGGCTTTGGGGGGAAAATAAATAAATAAATAAATAATTGTTAAAAAAATAAATAAATAAAATAAAATCCTAGGATCCATGTGTTGAAGGACTTCCTGATGCAAGGGGGTTAGATAATGGAACCCTTTTTATATTTAAATGGGAGAAGCTGGCTGGCTGCTCAGGCAGTAACCTCAGAGGTGCTGTGCCTGTTCCTGTTCCCCTATATCAGGTCTGATCCTTAATCTCACAGGCTCAGTAGAGCCACAGGTTAAGGGATGGGGTAAGAGAAATAATATACAATCTAGATTTTTCATAAAATTGGTTCAAGCCCCTTCCAATATCCTGGGGAAATTCCAGCGACCTCCCTAGGATTCACGTAATTTCTAGGGGCTCATTTCTCAGGGTCACCTTTGGTTCTGAGCTCCTGTCTCCACTGTGCTCTCACTTTCTGTGGCTGTTCCTTTCTTTCTACTGCACACAACCAGAATGTGCGTCTCTGCCCCCTTTCCTCATTCCCCAGTACCCCTCCCAGGAGATGCTGGTGTGCAGCTGATGCAGTGGGCATCTGTTGTTTTGGCTGTCCAAAGTCCCCCTTTTCCTGGTCATACTACCCCAATCCGCTTTGGGGAGCTACCGCTCCCCTAACAGACACAGATGCAGTGGGGCCGTTTAGGTATCCTATCAAGCCTAGGCCACAGAGTGGACACGTGGCCAAGCCAGGCCAATCAGAAGTTGGCTTCCTGGCCTTTGCATCTGGAGTGGAGTGGCTGCCCACTGACCTCAGGAGTGGCAGGCTGGCTAGATCACCAGTGCTGCTTTCCAAGCCTAATCTTCAACATTTCCTTGAATTCTGTGACCTGCTCCATATCTTCCAATAAATCCTGCTGCTTTGGATTTAGCCACATTCTTGCTTGTAAAGAAAAAAGAAAAAAGCCGCAAACTGGAGGTTTGAGATCTGCAAGGGGTTTATATTACAGCAATACAAATAGAATGGAATATTAGACAGCCTTGTTAATTAAAAAAATAAAGACTTTTGGCCACTCTGCTACAGGACTATGGACTGTGGGCTTCAGTCACCTCATGTGTCCAGTCTCCATTTCCCCTTCCACCCCTCCCCCCATCTACTCTTTTCCCCGACGTTCGTCTGCTCGTTAATGCCTCCTGCAGAACAGTGTGACTCCCTCTCTGCATCACTGTCTCCCTCCCAGCCATGCCCGTGGAGGGTCACCTTCCACATCCAGGGTGGTCCATCTAGGTCTTCTTAAGGAAGACAATTCCCTCCTGAAGAGGAACTATGGTGCCCGCTGTTTAAATAACACATTTTGTTCACCCTGAAGCAAATAGAATGCCTACTATGTATCAGGTCTTACAAATGATACATTACCTGTTGCAGCAGATAGTTGTATCCTATTCCTGCTAAATGAACCAACAAAAATAAAAGAACCACTGATTTATAAACCATGAGCACAATTTTTTAATTTTAATGTGGGAACTGACAAATGGATTGGACTGGGGGTTGCCAAATTATGACCTGTGGCTTGTGTTTGCACAGCTCACGAGCAAGGAACTTTTAAAAAAGATTTTTAATGGGCTGTAAAACAAACAAACAAAAAAGGAATATGGGACAGACACCTATGTAGCTTGCGAACTGAAAATATTTACTAACTGGCCCTTTATAGAAAAAGTTGGCTGACCTCTGGATCAGAATCCTCTTGTAAGAAGGTAGCTGTGACTGAGATGGAGTGCCGCAGACCTTAGGAATTAGATCACTGTTGGACTGTTTTATTTGGGGATTATCTATTTGGGCCATGAAGACTTCTTAGGAGGTGGCTAATTCAGTGGTTAAAAACAAGAGAGGGAGAGATGTTCTGTGATCGCTGGGCCCAGCTCAGAGGTATGGGGAGGCCAGAGAGGTGTGGGGTGGGGGATGAGCTGCTCCTGCCGTGTGGAGGATGTGGAAGTAGGGTCCACTGGCCTCCATCATCTTTGTCAGAGGCAACAGTAGCAGGGGATGCAGGATGTGGACTTCCAGGATGAAGAGAATGCATTGGCACGTGGGCGAGGTGGTCCTGGCAGTGGTGGGGTGTCCCTGATGCGGTGAGTTCAGCAGGAGAGGTGGCCTGGGTGAGAAATTGTGGGGACTGACTCAGATTGGAGAACATTTGAATCCCTAAAAGTCCCAGCAGATGAGTCACAAGGTTAACTGGCTGCTAGACCAATCGATGCCACCCTCATTTCCTTCAGATCCTGACTTCTCTGGCTTCTCTATCTAAAACTACATCACCTCCACCCCTCCCTCCCCGTAAATCCCTCTCACTTGCTTTATTTTTCTCCTTAGTACTTATCGCTATTCAGCTACGATGTTATTTAACTCACACCTTAATTATCATCTGTCTCTGCCACTAGAATGTAAGCCCTATGAAAGCAGGGATTTTGGGGGGGGGGAGCTTTTTTCTACAGTGCCTTGAACAGTGCCTGGCACACAGTAGGTACTTAATAAATACGTGTTGATTGAATGGAATGATCCTTCTTTCTTTAATAATATTTATGGGGAGAGACTCCAGGGAAGTCTAAATTCCTATTAATTTGGTCACGAAGGGGCTTAAAGTCTCTTCAAATTGAACATTAAAGGAAATGTGACCTTATTTTGTGTCTTAAACTAATAAAGTGTGGCATATTATTCATATTAGTACCAGCTTGCCGGTACATTTTCTCCTTATCAAAACATTTACATAGAAAGCTAACTTACTATTGGAAGGTTACTTATTGAAAGGAATCAGAATAGAGGAACCAGAGTAAGCAGAGCTGGTGTTATCAAGCTGTAGGTTAGTCCCATGACCACACATGTGATGGGAACACATCTTCCATGAGGATCAAAAAACGTATGTACTGTCCGAGGCTCTTCTCTCATATAACAATAACAGCCTACACTTATACAGACCTTCCTCAACTTACGATGGGATTACATCCAGATAAATCCATTGTAAGTTGAAAATGGCTTCAGTCGAAAATGCGTTTAATGCACGTAACCTACTGAACATCATGGCTTAGCCTAGCCTACCTTAAACATGCTCAGAACACTTATGTTAGCCTACAGTTGAGCAAAATCATCTAACACAAAGCCTATTTTATAATCAAGTGTTGAACATCTCATGTAATTTGTTGAATACTGTACTGAAAGTGAAAAACAGAATGGTTGGATGGGTGCAGAATGGTTGTAAGTGTATCGGTTGCGTACTCTCGAGATCGCGTGGCTGACTGAGAGCTGTGGCTCGCTGCCGCTGCCCAGCATCACGAGAGAGTATCATACAGATATCGCTAGGCTGGGGAAAAGATCAAAATTCAAAATTTGAAGTACAGCTTCTACTGAATGTGTATCGCTTTCACACCATTGTAAAGCCGAAAAATTGTAAGTCGAACCATCTATAAGTTGGGGACTATCTGTATAGTGCCTACTCTGTGCCAGGCGCAATTTGTTGAAATTTTTCTGTATAATTTGTTGAATGAGCTTATGCTTAATAGTGAATATTTTGTGCATTTACTGTGTACCAAGTGCTATTCGAAGCACTTTTCATGTATTATCTCATTTAATCCTAAGACTCCTATGCAGTAGGTTCTAATTGTCATCGCCATTTTGCATGTGGAGTAACAGAGGCAGCAAGAGACTAGGTAATTTATTCAAGGTCACACAGATTAGCAAGTGGTGGTGCTGGGATTTGAGCTCTAGCAGCCATGCCTCTCAAGAACACTGCTGCAGGGGGTGGGCCTGGTGGTGCAAGTGGCTAAGTGCGCATGCTCTGCTGCGGCTGCCTGGGGTTCGCCGGTTCTGATCCCCGGCACGCCCTGATGCACTGCTTGGCAAGCCATGCTGTGGTGGCGTCTCATATAAAGTAGAGGAAGATGGGCACGGATGTTAGCCCAGGGCCAGTCTTGCTCAGCAAAAAGAGGAGGATTGGGAGATGTTAGCTCAGGGCGGATCTTCCTCACGCACACACACAAAAAAACACTGCTGCAGACCCACTGAGAGGCTACGGCCCACTCCTGTCTCTTTCTGTTCTGTATGTGTCACAGCCCCTATAACATAGCAGCTCTGCAACTTAATAGATCTCCACCTGTTTTGTTTTGTTTTTTAACATCAAACACATTCCAGTCACGCCTTCCTTTGGAAGCACCTCTGTCCACTTTGAATGGGCTTGTTTGCCCCTCAAGTCTCATCAGCAACCCCCTGTCACTGTTTAAATCATAACTGTCCCTTGTACCCTTGTAAAAGTGGCTACCACTTTAATTCTAAAAACAAGATCATATCTTAAGTGTATCAGGAAAGGCTTTCTATTGTAATTTTGTGTTGAAACATTCCATAAATCTGAGAATGTTCTCATAATCATCACATAATTTTTGTGTTTTGTATGTTTGGAATTTTGCATATTAGATTTTCTTAGAGTGGCACATGATTCAAGGGAGAATGTTAACCTTTTAATTCAATTAAAATATTTTTGCACACCTGTACTGGTTAGAACTGAGCTGGCTAATGAGAGAGAAATGAGCTTAAACACGAGCTTACTCTGTTGTTGTGGAGGCAAGACAGACACAGGATACAATCTGATAACCAATAAAACTGCTTTTGATCAGTGCCAGACCAAATAGTGCAGATATTGAGTACAATGAATTTGGATAAGGTGAGATATCTTGGGATTATCTAATCATAGAACGATATCTCACTGTTAGGAATGGTTTAAATTCAGTCCCCCCAGGTGGGATCGATAATGGCTTCTGGAAGGTTTTTCAGATTTGAACAGCCTTGTTTAAAAAAAAAAAAAAAAAAAATCCTTTAAGTGCCAAGAATTATCTTGGTGGGGATGTGGTTCCCTCTAGTGGTTATAGAAGGAGTTGCAAATTTTCTTTTTTGTATACTGTATTTCTTTTTTTCTTGGTTATTCATTCAGTCAACAAATACTGAGGGCCTGCTGTATATTAGACTCTGTATTAGGGATTCAGAGATAAAAGACACAGTTTCGTTTATAAAAAGCTCACAAGGCTAGAATAGAGAAAGCCAAAGAATCATGATCTACTATATCTGCAATAAGAAAAATAACAAAGTGAAGCCACCTAGCCCAGATCAGGAGAGATGGGGTTAAATAAGAGAAGACTTCCTGAAGCAATAAAGATGTGATCTGAGCTTTTATTAAATAAACATTGCATTTTCCTCTTTACAATATCAATATATGTTCATTGTAGAAAATTTAGGAAATGCAGGTGAGCTACAAAGAATTACCCATTATTCCATCAGCCAGAGACAACCACTTAAATATTTTACTTTATCTACTTCAAGCCCCCTTTTATGAATAATTTATTTTCTAACAGAGATTATACTCATAACATTTTGTAATCTGCCACATTGCAAATGTAATTGCCATTTGCAATCTGCCATTAAAGTGAATATATTTTGAAATTTTTCTTACTAAAATATACTAATGCGACATTATTACTCTTTTTCAAAATAATAGTGGCTATTTTAATACTTTCATTTTTTTCAGATGAACTTTAGAATAATTTCGTTCAGTTTTAAAAATCCCATCGGTATTTAGATTGTGGGAAATATAGAGATTTATTTGGGAGAGTTTATATCTTTGTAACATTAAACAACACTTGTTGTTTTCTGTTTGTTTGTTTGTTTGTTTGTTTTGATAGTAGCCATCCTAATGGGTTTGAGGTGGTGTCTCATTACAGTTTTGATTTGCATTTCCCTGATGATTAGTGATGTTGAGCATCTTTTCACGTGCTTATTGGCCATTTGTATGTCTTCCTTGGAGAAATGTCTGTTCAAGTCCTTTGCCCATTTTTGAATTGGGTTGCTTGGTTTTTGTTGTTGAGTTTTAGTTCTGTATATATTCTGGATATTAATCCCTTAACAGATATATGATTTGCAAATATTTTCCCTCATTCTGTGGGTTGCATTTTTACTCTGTTGATAGTGTCTTTTGATGCACAAAGTTTAAAAATTTTCATGAAGTCCAATTTGTCTATTTTTTCTTATGATACTTTTCGTGTTTTCTTCTAAAAGGTTTATAGTTTTACAATTTATAGTTAAATCTATGGTCCATTTTGAGTTCATTTTTGTATAATTTGTGAGATTTAGGTCAAGGTTTTGGGGGTTTTTTGCCTATGGATATCCCATTGTTCTTGCATGACTTGTTGAAAAACTATCCTTCCTCCACTGAATTGCTTTTGCACCTTTGTCAAAAATCTGTTGTCTGTACTTCTGTGGTTCTTTATTCTGTGCCATTCATTTATGCATATCTCTCTGCCAGTAACACACAGTCTGGATTACTGTAGCCATATAACAGGTGTCGAGCAGATTACTGTGCACCGGTTACCAATCCCAGGGGAGGACTCCAACTACATGGAGGAGAGCAAAGATCATCACAATGCCAGCCACTAGGAGCAGAAGTCCAGACACTTCTGCCCACTGCATCTTGGTATTGGAGTCACCAAGAATACAACACAGTCAAGCACTGGATGGAATAATGCTTTACTTACATAGAAAGAGATCAAATAATATCAACTTCAGTAGTGGGCATCAGTCCCTCATGGCCAGCGGGTCTCTCCCAGTGTCTGATGTAGGGTGATTTGCCTATGTGCACCTCTCTTGTGCTGCAGTGGAGGGACTTTCTCTCCTCCCCATGGAGGACAGATGTAACAGTGGAGTTGGCCAGGTGCCATCTGATGCACACACTTCAAGCAGAGACAAAAGAACATTCACTGAGCCTGAGACAGGGAAAGATATTCCCATGCAAGGTGGTAGACCCAACACAGGCTGTGTAGGCTCTTTATCTCTTGGTAAGGAAGTGTTCCAGGCCCATGGCCTATTCTTATGCAGCTAGTGGGGGCAGAAAGATTGCATGCAAGAGACTGCCTTTCTCCATAATAAGTCTTAAAATGGAGTAGATTAATGCCTCTCATTTTATTCTTTTTCAAAATTGTTTTAGTTATTCCAGTTCCTTTGACTTTCCATATAAATTTTGGAATAATTTTGTCTATCTTACAAAAAATATTCCTGGGATTTGGGTAGGAACTGCATTAGACCTATACATCAATTTGAGGAGAATTGACATCTTCACTATGTTGATATTTTCACTCAATGAACATAGTATGTCTCTCCATGTATTTAGCTCTACTTTGATTTCTTTCATTAGCGTTTGGTAGCTTTCGGCATACGCGTTAATGTTGTGTTACATAAAAATGTTATATTTTGTTAGATTTATATGTATTTTGGGGGGATTGTAAATGGTATTTTAAATTTTGGTTTTTCTGTGGTCATTGCTAGAATGTAGAAATACAACTGATTTTTGTATGTTGATCTTGTATGCTGCAAACTTGCTGAACTCTCTTATCAGTTCTAGGAGGGTTTTTTGTAGATTCTTTGGGATTTTCTATGTAGATCATCATGTCTTCTGCAAATAGGAACAATTTTATTTCTTCCTTTCCAATCCATATCTCTTTTATTTCCTTTTCTGGCTCCATTGCACTGGCAAGGACTTCCAGGACTCTGTTGGGTAATAGTGGTGAGAGGGGACTTCCTTGCCTTACTCCTGACTTAGTGGGAAAGCATTCAGTCTTTCACCATTAAGTATGTGTCGATGCAAAATAACCAATAACCATTCTATAGGTAAGAGAAATAGGTGAGTTTTACTTGAGCCAAGGTGGGGATTATAACCCAGGAAGGCCTTTTCCAGAAAGGAAGAAAGCGTTCCAGAGAAGCATGGTTTTCAGTATAGACTTTATCCTTTTAGAACAAAAAACATACATTAAACACGCCCAGGATACATATTCTTCAAAGTTTCGAAAAGGTATTCAGTTGCAAATTAGCAGGTCAACATAACCCTGATATCCGTAAAGGGACTAATACGGGCGTTACCAATAGGGCGTAGGAGGGGAAGTATGCATTCTTATCTTAAGAGAGTGCGTTCTTTCCTCTAATGGTTAAAGCAGATGTACAATGTATGTTTGATAGGCCATAAAACAGGCTTCTTTCGTTTAAGCCAAATCAGTTTTGAATCCAAATAGTGACCCCATATACCTTGGTTTTTTGTATATGACCTTTATCAAATCAAGGAAGTTGCCCTCTCTTTCTACCTTTCTGAGAGTTTTTTTTTACCATGGGTGGATGTTGAATTTTGTCAAATATTTTTTCTGCATCAATTGATATGATTGTATGAATTTTCTTCTTTAGTCTGTTAATATGGTGGATTACATTGATTGATTTTCAATTATTGAACCAGCCTTGCACCCTTGGA